CCAATGATGTACTCGTCTCCATCCAGATGCGCTTCTCTGGCGCAGTTTTGCCAGCTGTGGCCTTGCTGCAGTCGTGGGTCTTTTCATGGCTTTGGGGTTTGGAGCTCTTTCAGATTCACAGAGACCCGGGGGAAGGGGATCCAGTTTCCCCCTGAAGCTCGAACTTGAAGCTCGAATTCGGCGTTGAAATTCTTCCCGCCTTCGGGGCTCGAATTCGTGGCGTGGGTTAGAGAAGAGAACAGGGACGACGCCAAAAATGCCCTTGACGCCTAAATTCAACACCGTAAATTCCGTGAGGTTCCTGTCCCGGACCCTACGCAGAAAATGAGCCTAACGCAGCCAAAGCACGGTAATTCAATTCCTTGCTGCCGGAATTTGGCGACCCCTTGCCAAGAGGAGTATGGACCCTGACGTCTAAGCTGACACCGAAATTCAGCTCAAATTCCCGGAAGCCCAGTCCAGCACGCCTTGACCCTGACACCTAAAGTGTTCCTGAAGCCTAAGTTCGACGCTGAGAGTCCCTGAAGCCCAAACTCGGCGCACCTGGACCCTGAATGCCGGATGTGGTCATGGGGCCTAATTTCGTCTTCGGGGCCGATTTCTTCTTCGCGGCCGAAGTGCGTCTTTGGCACGACTTGCATATTCAGCCCTGAGCCCTGCGAGTCTCGTCCATGTGCAGCTCATGCAGCTTGTTCGGATCTTCGGTGTAGCTTCGTCTTTGTCGGCAGCGGGACCGATTTTCTTCTTGCCGTTAAAGAAATTCGTCTTCGGGAACGAAATTTGTCTTCGAATTTTGTCTTTGCCCTGAATTTGAGCTTCGGGCCCATGCAAACTATCCCGACGTCATCTTCGGAATCTTGTTTTCGGTACGGCTCAACAAAGTACATCCCTTTTCCGGGGTCAGTGCTCAGGTCAAATTCATCTCCTGGGTAAGATTGGGCAAGTTTGCAGTAGGTTCCAAGAAGGAGCCATGTAAAGATCTAAGCCGAGTATTGGCGCGTGAATTGCACAAAGCTTAGCCACAAGACGCACAGGAGAAGGTTGTGAAGCATGCTTGGTGTGCTGCTTTCCTGGCCCTCCTGTCTACATAGTCCTCATAAGGACGCTCACCGCTTGCCCGTGCTAAGGGTGGGGTCTTTCGCATACACTTCGCGAGAGTTGCGGCTTGATTATTGCTTACGGACCTGAATTTCCTGAAATCGATCTTGAAACTCGCAACACAGCTCCAGCTTTTGGCACAACAGAAACAGTTATGTTTGACTTGCAGCTCCGCGGCTTGGGGCAGCCTGCGCAGGCGATTCAAACACGCCATCATCCAGCTCCAGAGCCCAGTAAGTCAGACAACGGCCTGGAGAGTGGCCAAATTCTACAGTCAACCCCAAATCGCTCGAAGCGTGAAAGTGTATCTGAAAAATGCTCCCTCCCGTTTGCCGCTTATTTCGGGCTAGTCTTGTTTTGATTGCTCATGGAGCAAAAAAAACTCCTTGGCATGGACTTGTCAAAGTTACTTCTGTGGTCAGCTCCCAGATGCTCAAGCAGGCTTGTGCTGCCTCATAATTCGATTGCTGTTGGTAAGAGCCTCAGCCTGTAACTGAAGCCTACGGTACGTCCGGAAACGAAGAGCCCAGAACAGTGATATATGGAACAAAATTTCATAATGGCTTGAGGTACCAAACGTTCTTTTGGGATCCAGATGACGCTCTCATGTTGGAGCCATGCTCTCTCGCGAGACTCTCTGAGCAATAGCTATGCAATATGTGCGAGGTCCACACGTTGGCAATCTCAGTCAATGTGAAGGGAGAACTTTCGTACTAAAGTTTATCCGGACCTCTGCTCAATCTGTCAGCTCAACTGGATGTGGTTCAAAAGGGATGGGCAGCTACAATCCGATGTCAACCTGTGCTTAGGCACTTCCGAACAGTCCACCCTATCCCAAAGTTCCAGAGATTCGACACAAACGCCACTATATCCCGGAAGCTCAGGTTGGGTCTGGCTTATACCAAAACATGAGTGAGCGGCAGCCCTCCCAAACAATCTTCTTCACATGCCCCGGCGGATGGCAAGATTGATCAAGCTGTCGGCGGTAGCAGGCGCCTCCTGCCATGGTGGTGACAAATGGCTTGCAAGAAGCGCTGGATGCTCAGCCGAATGGATTCAAAGCTCCACCTCATGAGCCGTTGCGCCCGCCTCGCCCATCAAGGCCCATTTCCGAAGCGACCACGGGTCCAGCCCCCGTGCCGTTCATGAGAGTCCAGCTCTGGCAACAGGGCTCGCGGAATGGACTGAGTCATTGGCGATCTAATACTTGACTATTCTTGCTGCCCACGGCCTGGCGGTCCAGACCAGGAGCCTCGGCAATGTCAGCGCCAGCCTGAAAAGAAGGCCAAGAGGGAGCAGCCAGCAAAGAGTCCTATAGCCACTCTATGACATCGATATCATCGATGAATCGTCTCAGGTGATAGAAGCGCATTCAGAGAACAACGTCGAGAATTGAATAGAAGGAGCTGACAGCATTCCAACAGCATAGGACGTCGCCTCGAGAACGAGCGTGCAGTTCGCTGACTCCTGTGTTGCGGCGCTAAAGACAGGTCAAAGGGTTCCGATAAGGTTACCGATTCTGCTCCTCAGTCATCATAGCCCTTCCTGTCTACCCGAGCCTGAAAGCTGACTCCGCGGCAAGCGCCAAGCGCGAATGCATTGCACGAGTCCATGCACTCGCCTCCAACAAGCTAACGATACGCGAAGCTTGAAGCCTGCATCACCCCAAGACTACAACGTTCCCCGCCAAGCGGCCTAAACCTCGGGCATATGTTGATCGCAGCCTGACGCTGCTGTACGCAGTTTTCAGCTTCATCATGTAGGTAATGATTTACACGTTGCCGGCCCTGTGTCTCAAACATGTTGATAACTTGTTGCAAGCATCCTGGAGATCAGCTCCTGCCTGCCGTAACGAGCTCCAGAGGAGTCGACGCACCTAGAGCCTGCTCCAACCTTGGACAAGATCTCAGGCCAGCAGCAAACGAACCTACTTGGTACATTTCTCACGCGTAGGACACGGCTCCAAATCAGGCTTTGCATCCACAAAATTGCCTGAGGATGGGCCAGAGCCCTGAACTGGGAAAACAACTCCTTTCTGCTTCCGGCTCTGCGCTTGCAAACGTAGTCGCAGCATCAATGTGGCAAGGCACGCGTCTGTACAGAAATCCACTCCGGCTCACCTCCAAGTGAAATGAAAACCAATGAATCGTGCTTTCACAAGCTTCGGCCTGAAAACACCCATGTGATGTAACTTCAGATTCAATGTGTGCCCTGTTCACGGCCTCAAGGGGCCCAAAGTATACGCCGCTGATGTGGATGGGGACACGGTTGTAGGAAGCTTGCTCCTCATGCGATAATGATTCCTGCGCTCGCTAGGCGATTGACACACAGTGCAGGAACGGCGCAACAGCAGAACATGTGTTGCATCCGCTTTAGAGCGTAAGCTGTCAATGCATATTGCAGCTCAAACTCACCATCCTGATGCAATTCCAGCGCAGCACTGAGAAGACAGGACACGCTGACCTCGGTGACCAAGACTCATTTCGGCGTCATGGACAACGACATAATGGCATATGTTTCCTTCTGGACGTTCTGGCTTGTGCAGTGGTCACATGAGAAGGCCCTTCTCTGCCCAAGGTTGCCAACTCAGCAGACTCAACTCAATCACACCAGATGATGCGTGTGCATTATGACAGGAGCAACTGGATCTCACGGGACGAGATGGTATGCACTCAGCACAGCCTGTGCACTCAAGCTGTGCCAGGCTCATTCCAGACAATTGAGTACGTTGTGGAAAAAACCGTCGTCACCCCAGCTTACGGCAAGCGCCCGCTTCCCTCACTAAGTGTTGAGAAAAAACTTCCACTTCATGCATGGGAGCATGGCAAACTGGCGCAAATGAGTTTGCCTCTTTGGAAAACAAGTGTCCACCAGGCTGTACGACTGCATCTCGCCACGGATCAGCACGCCAAATGCAAGAGCACTACCGGCAAGAGCAGGATGGAAGCGTCCTGGCCGGAAACTGCTGCCCAAACAAATCTGGCCAACATTTATCTCAGCGGTTAACTTGAACCACAAAACACGTATGGGCAAAGACATGGTTTAAGGTCCTCGAATGTTTCATATGACGTCCGCAAGAAGGGGGATGTGTACGCAACAAACTACGAATGTGAAATTCTGGCACTTCACCAGTCTCGAGCCGCGAGTCGAAGAATCCGAGAAGCAAAGTTGGCCAAGCTATGCCAAGCCATTCGATTGCTTTGTCATCAGCTAAATTCATGAGTTACAATATGTCATGTACTGTTGGGCTGCACAGCTTTCCGTGGTGCTTCAGAATACACATGCTCTTCAACAAAGGCCGATGAAATGCACGTAAACCTGAGTGTTTCCTCATGATTCTTCTTGTCACTAGATGGAGGCTCGGTTTCTCTTGCGGTGGTGAGCTGTGCGGGTAGACTCATGCTGTTCATGCATACGTCACCTGCATTGTAGCCCTGGGCTAGGCAACATTCTGTGCAGCACCCTTTGTATCGTTGCCTTGGGGACCAGTCAAACTAGGCAGAAAAATGTGGATGTGACAACCTACATACCCCTGCCTCTGTGCGGGCCGCAGACTACGTAGACACTCTTCCAGCCTAGTTGCTACCATTTCTCTTATATCGCCAAAGAAACGCGTCTCAAGTGAAGCTCTGACAGCCCAAATGCTCCTACTGCGTATTGAAATCTCAAAGCACAGAATGCTCGAGGAGGACTCCCCTTTAGCAGTCATCACGCAGACACCCACGTAGCATGAGTCCGTGTTTTGGGTGCCTTACCAGAATCAAATCCTACCAAAGAGGTGAGACTGTTGGCCTCTAGCTGATCACACATTGGTTTGCGCGGCCGGCAGGCTGTGGTGGCCCTGAATGCCCTGACAGCAAGCACGGTCTTGCGGGATGCTCGTGTGAACACAATTGTGTCACCTTCAGCTGGCGGCGCAGAAGGGGCATCCATCTGGAAGTTTGTTTGTTCCTGTCGGAGCTGGATGCACTTCTCTGGAACGTGCTAACCCAGCTCTGCTTCTGTGGAAAGTGGACTATCATCGGCCTTAGGTAGCTGGAGGGTGAATCCGGCTCGCTTGCATACCCTGTGCACACATAGCCTTAAGCATGCTAGGAGACGAGCATCTGCAGCCTCGCACCGCATCAGCTTTTTTTTGGTTGTGGCACAGTCTGAGGCAGCTCCCAGCTAGCGTCTTTGGCATCATGAGCAAAAACTTATCTGCTTCGTCAAAGACGCATCGCCATCCGCCTCTCAAATCTCATGGATTACCGGGCATGTCGAGCAACTGCAGCCCGAGAAGCAGCAAGAGCAGCAGCAGCAGCAGCAGCAGTGCTGTGGTGGCCGCACGGTGGAAGCCACACCATTACCAGCAGCACAAACAGCAACGGTATCATCATTAGCAACACCTATCCAACACCAACTGCTTGCGCTTGTAGTAAAGATGAGCATGTCAGGAATCACATCGCTAGCAATGCTGCTGAAGTAGATGCCGCTACGAGCAGTCCCAGGATCATCAGGCTAGGTATGCATGTCAGGAGATGCCAAGAAGGAGTGTAAGCAACATGCTTGCCTTCTTAAGATACACATCTTCTCAACATCATTATCATCATTATCATCATCATCATCATCATCGGAATCATCAGCAGCGGAAAATCGTGTGGTAATTAATGGTTTCTTCATGATTGCTCTCTGCGGCATGGTCCTCTGAACCCGCCACCGCAGTGGGCTGAGAAAGATAAAGCACCGACGGATCGCTGGGATCCACGTAAGCCACCTTCGGAAGCAGAAAGTGCAACACCAAGATGTCTGAACTGTGAGAAGCCGTGCCTGATTCAGGCGGCCTTCCTGCGCGGCTTGTGCCTCGCATCAGCTATCCTCCGACCCATGTCTCGTGCTGGATTTGCATCATGCACTGGGAGCTTTTTCTAGAAAGTCGAGGCCAGCGCAATCGTGTTTTGCGCGTTCTGAGCCTTTCCGTCCAAAAGAGCGGAAGGGCACTCCCAATACTCTTATCCGGGAATCTACGTCAACTTATTCCTGCACGGCGCGAATTGAAATGTCCAAAGGCTTGAGGTACCAGCTGTGGCTTTATCGTCCGAGGAGCGATGACATCCCAACATATCCCAACCCTTGCCTGACCTTGCATCCGTTCACCTCAGCCACGTAGCTTATCTAAGGCAAAAATTGCATGGCCTGGACCTCAGACAGGAGCTGGAAAAGCAGCTGCAGGAAAGTATCTGAGAATCTCTCAACAGATCGCATGCAATGGCAACACAGGCAGGATCCTGAGTTCGGTTCTGCAACCTCCTCCACGGAAAGTGAGATAGAAAACCTGACGGAGCGGGTGCCCACAGCATCAGATGTGGAGAATGTGAAGGAAGGGCCCGACTGTGTCTCCACCCATCAGGGGAGCTGCCGTCTGGTCCTCAGTGCACATTGGCCTTAAAGTGCTGCACGTGGATCTCTTTTTGAACTAAGCCTCCTGCGGCTTCCATTCCAGGCAGGGGTCGAGTAGATCCTGCCAAGTAGTTGGCACCTTAATGCAAGGCTGACACTACGACGATGAAGACAATCACGCAAAGCGATTTAGAGCTTGGCCGAAGATTGGCTGCTCGAATTTTGGCTTCCTGCAAACCAGAATGCTTTTGAAACTCTGCTTTTGCAGCACCTGTGGAATCTCTTACATCGATCTGCGTGTTTTGACACAACTCAGCGGAAGGGGTGTGTGGAAGGCGTCTCCACATCAGCGCTACAAGTGCACAGATGTGAGCACCTCTGGCCATTGCCAGTAGATTTCCCATCTAGATAATCAGATCATCCGTGCGCATGATTTCGTGAGATATGACATTTGGCGTTCTCATTTGCTATCTCCTTGTCATCTCTCAGTTTGCATGGTTGATAGCTTTGCATCCGTCATGCTTCTGACGCACTTTTTCCTGGTGGGCCTCAGGGTTTGGGGCGAGTCAAGTGCTCCGGGATCTCACTACAGCCCGACTGCCTGAGGGCGAGCAAGAACCACGCCAGGGACGCTGTAACGGATACCACGTTTAAGCTTTGGGAGAACCGCGATAATGAAGCTGCATGCTGCGTGACCCTTCGGACTTGAGAAGCCACAGGCCTCCCAAGCCCCAAGCCTCTCAGCCTTCTGAGGCGCTCCAGGCCCCGCAGGCCACCCGGACCGCAAGGTCAGGGATAGGCGGGTGTGTTTGGTCTATTCCGTGCAGGGCGGGGAAGACGCATGAAAACAGGAAAAAGATGCTGAAAGCAAAAAAAGTGTCGATACTTCAGGCCTAAAAGATGCTCCGCAGCAACCAAATGGGATGGTCCCCCTTCCGTCCCGTTTGACAAAAGAAATGAAAAGTAGAAAAGCGCTAGAAAGCAAAGCGCAAGACGCAAGGACATCGAATCCTGAACTGACAGTACAAACTGTCCATGTCTTCCTGGGTTACCGATTCCCAGAAATGTCCTTCGGGTTTATCCAAGAAACCATTTGCATCTTCAGCAAGTGCAGGGTTTAGGGCGTTGATGGAAGATGGTTTTCGTTCCCCATCAAAACTTTGGTTTCCTACGGATTTCCAAGGAAGCATAGTGCATAGGCTTAAGGATTACGGGCTAAGGGTTGCAAGCGTCTTTAAAAACTGAAAATAGCTCGCGCAGCATGTGCAGCACGTATGTGGGCATATGTACGTGCTTTGACAATTGCGAATAAGTGCACAACTCTGCAGGTCTCCAATGGCGGGACGTACACGCGGGAGAGGCAACATTGTCATTTTGAAGCGGCGTGCCGCGGGTGAGCACCCTGTGAAATGTGTTTTTTGTTTGGGTCCATGGTTTTGGCTGCTATATGCTCTCATGTCATGTACATTCTTATACACAATTGCGTACTGCTGTAGAGCCTGATACTCTTTTCTACAAGCTGTTAAGTTAAAGATTCCTGCTTCATGCGCTAAGGCCTTTGGGATAAGCAGCTCAAAATACATAGCCCAAAAGGTGGACTGAGGCCCCAAATGCAAACTGCAAATATTTGCCTCGTAAACTTTATGAAGAAGATATCGGAGTTTCATGACATGGAATTCTAAAGAGGAACAATGACAATGAGGTCTAACGAGACACATTAAGATTGCATGCATCCTCCGCTTAAAGGCTTGCTGAAGGTTTCCAACTGCATCTTTTCATTTTTTCATAGCACAACCATGCAGTCTTTGTTTCACTCATGACTAAATGTAACTGTATCAACTCTTCCGAAAGCCGAAAACAATTTCTTCTTCGAACAACAACTGCGTACTGTTCAAACAAATAAATGGCTACCAGGAGTGCTTGAAGAAAAAGAATTGCAAATAAGAATCACGTGTTCGTGGTAGCTTGTAGCTACAGTCCAATAGTTGGCCGCGTGCCAAAAATTGTTTTGGCAACAGTTGGTATTGCTCATATTCATGTTCACGGCCACAAGCAACGCTTAGTGAGGTTCACTTTGGACAGAGAATGGCATACCACTACAAAACGTCCTCAATACATACAACGACTGATAATCAAGCGAAACAGTCAGTACAAATCTGACTAATAACCGGCAATCGATAGTGTTTGCTACTAAGAAGACATGATGATATACGTGTACACCGTAGTGCGCAGGGCCAAGCAGGCCAAGACGCTTGCAACGGCTACCGTCATCATGACCCCAAGTCTACAATCTTTGGAAAGCCCGGTGATCTTGATGCTGCCGGGCTTTTGAAATTCCTCAAAAAAGCTTAGAACTACCCAATCGGCCCCCAGGGTGGGCGTGGAACAAACATTTTATGAGCGCTGCGACTTCTTGTACTTCGTGATCTGCAGGACAAATCTCCCACCTTGTGCGAAAAAGAATTGATGCATCAAGCACTTCACTTGACTCCGTAGGAAGCATATCCCTCAGGAAGGTGATCATGTTTAAGTGAGTGATGGAACACAATCACATACACCCAAGAATTGGTAGGGGGGTCCAGTGGGCATCCTTTTTGGTGTCCGGCGGGCATCCTTTTTCGAGTTTTGGATCCAG